GGAATTATTTTCATTTCATTATTTGTGATGTTTCTATTTTTGATTGAAGAGCAATGAGAAGGTCGTTTATCTTCATGACTAAATTACAAAGCAATTTTAGTATTGATTGCTTTTGAAATATATATGCAAAGATGGCACAATTAAGCCAAAACGTTTTAGCTCATCCAGATTAAACTAATATTCATATATTTTTAAATCTTTAGTATAAAATTTTTGTGTTTATATTTACTTTTAGGGAGTATTTGTGGCAATTTTATTGTGCTTCATCAATTCAGAAGTGAGTTTTCATACTTTGTTTTATCATTAGTTTTAATAAAAAATCTTTCTCATATTTATATGTATGGGGTAAAAGAATTATTAATATGTTCTTATAAAGATTTTAGATTTGTTATACTCATGTAAATGTAATAGTAAATAAATTTAATTAAACTTATATTCGATGGGATCCGCACAATATTTCCATTTGCTAGCAACAATTGTCAATCCCCTTGGCAGAGGCCTTGAAATAACGCCTCATTACATTTCTTCCTGATTACATTGTCTGAGATAGACTAATACCTTAATTGGCTGCCTCATTTATTTAATACTTTTACCACAATGAAAATACATTCTGTCTGAGACATGCTACATGAAATACAGTGGAATGTTTTTATTAGCTAGGCAAACAGCTATCGGAGTTTTTGGCCTTATAAGTCAAAAATTCAAATTAAAAACTATGTCAAGGTTCAAATCTTTAGTTACCTTAGGCTGCTTAAGGTGATGAGGGACTGCCGATAAATTTTCCTGTAATAAGATAGGGTGGACTCACGATGAAATTAAATTTTATCCAGTTTTGTCCATATAAAGAAATTCTTATCCAGGATTGACTATAATTTCGACTTTACTTAGTTTAGCAGCGGGAATTAAACCCAGATAATGCGGCGTTTAATTTCAGACACTGCTACGAAAACAAGTAGGTCACAAGTATAAATAAATTATTAAGCTAGTCAGGCCTTTTTAAGATCAGAATTTCTAGTGAAATTGTTACTAAGGCAGGCATGAATTTACTATTGCAGTCGGCAATTTTTAATGTACTTGAATTGAATAGGATTTTGAGGCTATTGATATTTCTCTAATAAGAGCTCAATTCACTTTAGGTCGTGTGTTGAAGAATGGAAATTTAATTTTTCTACAACGCTATGAATTAGCCTCCAGATGCATTTGTATTTCATTTATCCTTTCCTCCAAGAAGCAGTTTTGACCTTGTATAGATTCTGGCGGTTTGGCGTATTAAAACACTGACGGAATTATGCCCTACCCATCCAGGGGAAGTGTAGTGATAATTCTGAAATCTATCCAAAGTCAGAACTGCTGTTCATCCTGGATGAGAATAACGTATAAATACTAGCCTAATTAAAGTTCAGTTCCTTTACAATTAATATTTATCTCACTGTGGAAAAACTCGTGAACAGTTTATATCCTTAAGCGATCTAGAGATACTAAAGCACTTATTTAAGACCTACTGATAATTTGGAAGTATCACTTAATTTAAATATTGTATAAAACACTCATTGGTAGTTTTGCATTGTATATTAAGCATACTATATCATTTAATTATCTTAATAATTCTTCAATTTTGATTACCATATTTTATTATTTAGTTTATACCTTAAAGGCCTACAACTAACAAAATTATACTAGTAATTCTGGTTACAATTTCTCACGTATAAACAGATGATAAAAAGTACAAAAGGACTTTCTTAGCGTCCCGATATTTTAGAATTACTTTATGATTTGCGATAAAATAAGAATAAATCAATGGATTAGTCTGTTCACAAGTGTGAGGTATTATTATACTACCTGGATTCATCTTGTAATAAGCGCATTTACCTTCTCTGCTACTAGATTTTGATAGCTTAGTAAATTCTTGTTCAATGTAATTATAAACCAAGGAACTTTAATTTCAAAATTAATTCTAAGTTAAAAAAGCAGCTCTTAGGCCTTTAACCCTTGTCTTATTCTACCTAACATTGTCTACTGTCCTCTTTACTTCATTCAGTATAGCTCAATGCGTTAAGCATTAATCATAATTTTAGAGTCACCTGAAGACAATAATGTACTAAATGCGCTTTTTTGTAAACCAATTAAATTTGATAGCAAAAACTTAACTATTCTGACAAAAAACAAATTGTTATCTTTTACTTTATTTTTATTAATTAGCGTTACAAAATGTTTCAAAACAAATAATTTTGCTGATTTTTAATCTAGAAAAAATAATAATTTATGCCCGATAGATAAGAATAAAAATTCCTCTTAAGTAAATTAAATTATAATAGATAAAAGTAGTCAATGTTGAAACTCGTTATAGTATCTGTTTCTGGAGGTGACTAAATCATTGTGGAGTGGGGAGTAATAATTAATAAGGAGGCGTCAAACTCTAATGATACAATCAAACAATTAATAAAATAAAAAAGCTTATCAATGAGTAGGAGATGCAAATGTGCCAAAACTTATTATATGACATTTAGAGAAAACATTACCTTTGGAAATTAAAGATTGGAGGTCATTAAGCTCGCGGTTGGTCTTAAAGTAATATACCTATTGAGGGTTATAGAGGAAATTCTTATAAAAATATTTTGAAATTAAAGCATGAATAGGCATGATTAGAAGATGAATTCTTTCTTTATCTCATAGGCATAGATTCATTTTTTTAATGCGTAAAGTGTCTACTTTAACTTCAGCTGAGCCAATCCAACGGTTATAACGAAGCCCAATATCAATGATTATTCATAATTATAAAATCTAAGGAATTCTTATTTTACTCTTTGACCTTATTTTTAAGATAAAAATGTTAATGAAAATTATTTTATATGATAATGCAAGAGACATTCCTTAGTCTTAGCAAGTTGTTGAAGTATTTTAGCATCACAAAAATAGTATATTAAGCGCAATATATATATAGTATATATATATATAGTATTAAGATACTGGTCAATATTATTAGACTTTATAGAGATTTAATTAATAATTAAAATGTGATTCTGATAACAATTTATCCTCTTTCAAGGGATAATTTTCCATTTTTCTATAGGAAGTAGATAAATAAAAAAGAAGGGGCAAATCCCTTGGTGATAGAATCTGCTCTTAGCTTTATCGCATGTTAAAAGGCAGTTGAAGAAAATAGATGCAAAAAATTATACACCGCTAAGGATTCGATGAGTTGACTTTTACTGGTAAAAGTATGAGTAGTATTTAATGTATATTATGTAGAACAGAAACAAAAATTGACGTAGATCAAACTATTGAGAAAAATGAACTTTTATTTCTGTGCGTAGGGTATGTAAAATGTCATTCACTTTAATAATTCCTCTTTCTCTGTTATGGATTTATAGAAAAACAATTTTGTAAAATTTATTTTATCTTATTTTGTCTGCCTACTAAGCATTTTAAGAAAGATTCTATGGTAATTTAATATTAGATAGTTGATAAATAGAGGGATTTGGCACATCATTTAGAATGATAAGAGAAATAAATATTAAATTTTTCTTGAAAACTTGTTTTTTTCACTTAATTCCATATTTATTTAGGTAGCCCATGAATTGCGTCGCTGCTACGCAAGACTTCGCTTCAATCTTTCACGGAACAAGAATTCACGGTCCTCCATCACTCATCATTTGATACGTAGCACTGGTCGCTTTTCGATGGCAATAATACCGCCAAACGAACTAGCCAAAGAAGAGATAAATCTTCGACAAACAATACAACATTCACCGTCGCTCCAGTTTGATCCTTCTCCTTCTAAATCTTCTAGACTCATACCCATATCAGAGTTTTCATCTAAACAAATGATACCTCCAAACTCTCGAGCATCTAGAAGGGCAACAAACTCCGAAATTGTGGGCATATCTCCTATTGCGGCAAATATCACGGTCACAACTTTTATCCTTCCTTTGGAAGGCTCTGAGATTAATTCTATCACTAATTTTAACTCAAAAGCGAAGGAATTCAATGAATCTGAGGCCGAACTTGGTGATTTTTCCAATGCTCATTTAAATAGACAAAATTGGAATATTGTAACTGAAACTACAAATACGGCCTCAAGAAATGGCCGAACGTCTGAAGGCACAGTTTTTCTTTCGAACAATAACCTGTCAAAGAACGAAACTTACCCAAAACCAGGTGTTGATCAGGCCACAAACTTTACAACAGCCTATAGTGATGCAGAAATCCTATAAGGTAGCATTGGCTGAGTTATTTGATCCGCTGATGCTAAATAAACACGAAAAACAAAAGTTCTGTTAAGCTGAACAGACAGGCTGTTATACATCTATTGACATCAATCATAATAAGGGAAAAAAATGTTTCAAAATAAAGTTAAATAAAGTCGTATTTTTTTAAATCTTAAAAATGATGTATAATAGCCACATAAATTCTGCTATATACTAGCAGAGATCTATATTCAACTGATAGCAAATCATAGATTGACTTTAGCCTTATTGGAGGTAATTCAACAAACTACTTTAAAAATTTCTATCTTTAATTACAATTTATCTAAAGGATTCACGTCAAAGTAATGATGTGTCATAATTAATATTTTGTTCGAAATACCTACAAGAAAAACCTTATTTTCACTATATCGTATAGTAGATTATAGATGGCGATAACATTTCTTAACTATCCCCTTGAACGTACAGAGGATAGCTCTTATTTAACATCTTATTCTATTTCATCAGATAAGAAGCTGGCAGTCAAGTTAGTTTTGCCTTACATTCACCTCTTCAAGAAATCTTCCACGAGATCCTCAGCTAAATGTGATATGCTATTATAGAACAAATCCTAATAATTGGTTGAGCCGCAACTCTTTGTAAGTGTCAAAAACTTTGATTAAGCACTAATTGCTAATAGTAATTAGGCTTTAATCTAGTTTAGCATTTCCATCCTCAGATTATGCTAATAGCAGCTAGAGCATACCCAAGAAACTGCAGAAAGCATGCCCCAAATTTGCCTAAATTTAGTAAAAAAATAAGGGACTCTCAACTGAATTCCTTGAACGTATCTTTAGATGAAATACCAAATATTTAGGTTTCTTGTGCGTGAGTGCTCAAAGAAAGCTTATATGCGAAGAAAAGTTGGGTTTATAGTAATCTATTGGTTCTTAATTGCTGAGCTCAATTAAATTTAGAATGTAAGTGTTTGGTGAATAGATTCGAAGGCAAATCCAATCAAAATACGACGGCGGATTCATCTTGACAAACTGTCGATTGGTCCTAATGGAACAATCTTGTTGAAGTTTTAATTGAGAAAATCTTCTTTTTTTATTCCGGTGAATCCGTCTTTGTCTTCTGGCCAGATCGACCTTTGATTCTCTCCACTAAACACTTCCACTCTAAATAGAACTGTTCTCGACAATTAAAGGAAGCTTGTTTATCATAAATTGCTCCCCATGGAGTACCTGTCAAGACAATGAAATTTAGTGATTCTATCAGGCTGGGTGCTCATTGATAGCCAATGGTTAATAAATTGTTTAAGAAGTCTTAAGATATATATATATATATATATATATTATACGTTTACAGAGGGATAGGAACCTGGTAGTGCAACATTTTTTGATAAGTTTACATTACATTTTCATGGGTACCAGAGGGCCACAAAATATCTTTGATCTTCAAATCAAGTTGGGCCTTTTTAATTCTATAATCTACTGTAAGATTGTCGCTGCCGCTACTCATCTTCAAATTGAGCAGTATTTGAGATAATAGGAAGATCTTGAATACGAAAATTATATCTGTAGGTAGGCCATGATATGTGAAATGTAGGTGTATTGTGAAGCCTACACGTAGTATTCTAATTAAATTCAACTATCAGTCCTTCATCACTCTATGCTACCTAGGCTGAGTAGGACTTATATGCTAGCTCTAAAGTTAGGCCCAAATCTAACTGACTATGAATATTATATAAACATGCTGAGGTAAGGTGAGGTCTATTAATTAGATTTCAATGCTAAATTGTATTAAGAAACACGATATTTAGTTGAAGACTTCGTTCCAATTCGGAGAAACAGTTACATGGCCCAACTTGGGATTCGACTAATTCACGGGACACTACTTGTATATAAGTTAATAGCCCAGAACCCGAACAAGTATATTGATGTTTATAAAAGGAAAAACTCATTTCAAAAAAATTTCTAGAGGTCCTGAATAAACAAAGGGCAATACTTAATATTGGCCGCAGATATTAAATGATGGCTAGCTACAAATTCTGGATAGTGTAGCTATTAAAAACGAAAGTAAGTTAAGTGGTTAATTGTTTAGAATACCCACAGATACGGGATTCTCGACTTCGCCTGAATTTAATCATTGCTTCCAACGTGAATCGAACTCGGCTAGTGAAGCATGAATTTTCGATCGGTTACAACCACATAACACTGCCAGATATACCAGAAGTGACGGGTGGTAGTCACGGATATTAATATCTAAAACTATTCATTTTGGATACAAAGCATGAATTGTTTATTATATTCTCAAATTTAATTTTGTAGAATTATGTATGAATGAACAGGCCAACATACTTAGTCTAGGATCTGGTTAATTTACGGTATAAAATTGTTTCATCCATTACATTGTCTATCATGAAATGATTGACATTATATACACGGATATATTAGAATCGTAAAAAGAAGTACCGAAGACTTCTGAGCATAAATTACGATAGGCAACATTTCAGAGCCATCTCTCACAATTTCATGTGAGGCTAAGACACGTATCATTATCATAAAACGTTACAAATGAGCCAAAATGTTGAACGGGTTAAAATAAATACGAAAATATTCAAAATCTCATGAGAAGCAGCATTTACTGGGAACTTATGAAAATAAATTATGAAAAATATACTCACTGGAGATTCTCTCTTAATTCTCTTAATAATATCAATCCTTCCTATACTTAAAAGAATGACAACCTGATTCAGACATATTTAATCTGATTTATGGCTATTAGAAAAACAAGATAAATCAGTATTTGCATGCAAAGTCTAAATATTTCGGAGTCAAAATGTGAAGTTATCAACTTCTCATTCCTGTTTCATATTAACCTTTTAGTCAGACGAATACTGACTTTTCTGTTTTTTGTATACGAATCACTTGTTGTCGTTTGTAATAAGCCACATTAAAATTCGATCTTATTGTAATGCACCCTTCAGCAACCTATCAAATTCAGAATATATGATATTAAGCTTGTTATTACCGATTATTAAGAGAAAAAATAAACATATAACCTCTGATATTATTTTTCTGAAAAATTTAAATATTTCTAAAGGTTGTTAAACTTTACAAATAGGAAGAGTAACCTACTATAAAGTCAAAGTACAAATTAGCGAATGCTAGATTAGTGATAAATCTGCTCTAGCATGAAAATAAGTAATTGTTTGTAAGGATTAAAGCAAAGTATAACAAGAACAAAATATTTGGCTCTGAACTAGAAATAAAATTTTAATTAAGA